AACCCATGTAATGCCGTAAATGGAAGACTGCTTGTTGGTATGTTGCTGTATAAAAGCCCTTATCTACGGGTTTTCACAAGAGGTAACGTGTACAACATACACCCTCAGCCCTGCTCGCCCGCACCCAAACCTAAACCACCGGATCTCCCCCCTCGTCAGTTTTCAGCACGTCCGCGGTAGCCTCTACGACACTGGCATTTCCCACCTACACTGTAGCAATGCGGTCCGTTGGCGGTCCTCATTGTCTGTCCGTTCCGACATGAACCAAGGGGTACTTTCAGTGCGGTTGGGTGACGTACCTCGCGGCTCAGAAAGATGTTTACAAAGAAGATATCGGTTGGGATGGATTTCGACCAACAACAAACGCGCTGATCTGAACCACGCTGTCACCCCTCCACCTAGTTCCGAAACCCTAATCACGCAGTGCGTATAACATCGGTGGCCTCTCGCGATCAGTTCGCTAAGTCAGGTGACGGTCAAATATACTTGTGGAGCATGACGCCCATGAGATGCTCCTTCTGTAAGTTATGCTTCGTATGCTACCAAACACTAAGAACACACCAGATTAGAAGCAAGCGGTGCAAGAGGTTGCAGAAGCTTGCTACGGCACATCGGCAGCAGTACGGCGTTAGCCTACGACGCGAGTCCAATGGAGTATACACGCTCCACGATTATGGATCTGCCCCGCTTCCCCTTCCGCGCCTTCCAGGGTCAGAGGATGCTCTGCCTCGCGGGCGGCCTGCAGTACCCGTACCACCGACAGAACCCTCCGAGCCACCGCTACCCGACCCTGGCGCTGTCGCGGATGTAGAGGAGAGGGAGCTCTTCGACCTTAAGGCCGAGATCTGTATCTTAGCCCGTAACTTCGGCCTAAGCAATGCAGCCGTCACAGCTTTGATCCAGATCTTCCGACACCCCGACCTCGACCCGCGGCAGATCGACAGCTGGAACAGCCATCAGGATCTTGAGAAGTACGAGGAGGAGTTCGAGGTCGGCGAGGAGAATGAGTGGCTGGAGACCGAGATCCCTGTGGACCATGAGGTCGGGTTCCTCGTCTTCCGACATCGTAGGGTACTAAAGGTAGCACACACAAGCCTGCGAGAAACCTTGTAGCTTCAACACCAATCCAGCACATGTTGGTTCCACTGTGTAAATAGCGCATGCCATGGACACTTATTGGTTTGTAACTCTGTTTTTCCCACCATTGTAGGTGTTGGAAGCCTTGTACAAGCGGCAGTCGGCCGTCTCGGGCTTCCTGCATCGCGCGGAAGAGTGGAAGGTGGACGGGGTGCGTCGATACAGCACGCCCATGAACACGGACTTCATGCTCAAAGCACAGGTACTCGCACGATACAGGCATGTTCAGTGACCCCTATGGTTTCCGTCTTCCGCGTGCTGCATCTTTCGGCCGACATCTGTACTCTGCTCTCCACCCTCTGGGACCGCATTATCTAAACTGTGTTTAATGGTGTGTTGAATAACGTAGGAGCACATAGGGGACCGTGGGTTCCCCCTCGGCATCATTCTCTTCAGCGATGCGACGAACCTCTCCAACAACGGCAGGAAAACTGCCCATCCCGCGCTGCTGGCTCTCTCCAACACGCCCGAGTGGGCTCGGTGGGGCGAGGACGGCACCGAGATGCTCGGTAACTTCCCAACCATCCCCGCCGACTTGTCGCCTGAGGAGAAGTGCAAGGCATTCCAGGCCGGCCTTGCTGTCCTGGCGAGCCCCATAATCGAAAAGTCCAAGCTTAGTGGGTGAGCCATCACTGCGTTGCGGTTCTTCCCACGGTTGCCACTACACCCCACCCTTACCCTCTCCTGTGCCGGTATCACGACGCATCCGCATCCCGGCGCCATCGATCCTCACTCTCTCAGCCCACCACCCCCCCTCCCTCTTCCTCACCTTCCCCCCCACCCCCCATCCTACTGGAACTTCCCTCAGCGGCGGGCTGGTGTTAGAGGATCATGCGGGAAACCACGCGATGGGGTTTCCGGTGCTGTACGCCTACGTCACTGACCACCCCGAGTCCTCCAAGGTCTCGTGCACCATGCAGTGCCAGTCGTTCCGTCCATGCTCCATGTGTCTAGTGGAGCAGAACAACCTGAAGAAAATCTTCTCGACAACTCTGAATCGTACCGTCAAGGGCCAGAAGGCGGTGTACAGGCTTCTGAAACGCTCAGAGCGGGTGGAGACGCCAAGCGCCCTGGCTGCCCTCAAGTCGAAGTACTCGACGCACGCCGTGCCAGTAAGTGGGAGGGTTCTGGTTCTGCCTCTTTCGCGGAACGTTATGGAACTCGTAACGCATTTGAAACGTTCGCAAAGTGTTTGCGGAAAGGTTTTTCATACATTTCGCGAAGCGTTTGCGGAATTGTTTTTTGAACACTTAGCGAAGCGTTCTAAGATTGTCACATCTAAGGTCAACTTCTTGTCCTGCATGCACGCCGCATATTTCCCCCAGCCCGATCGACGGGTCACTGTCTCTTGTCAATTCGCGGCCGCGTATTGCCCTTAGCCCGCTGGACGGGTTAGTGTCTTTTAATCATTGCATCTGGCTCGACGTTGCTCGTTCTACGGCATTCCATTTGAACATTGTTCCATTATCGGTGTCGATTCCCTTGCGCGCGCGGTACGGCGTACCGCCGAGGTGCACCGCATGTTGATTTGCCAGTCGCACACTGTAACGGCAAACGCCCCCCATCACGGCAAACGCCCCCCATCACGGCCAGTCGCGTACTCGCCGATTAGTGAGCCCGCGCTGCCCATGCAAGTCCCCGTACCCTTGCCGTCCCTTCTCGACAACTCACTCTCCCGCGCAAGGCACTAGCGGTACGTCACATCCGTGCTTTTGCCAATAGTTGTGCGCTGAACCATGGCAGACGATGGCAGGCGTGGACCATCCCGCGAGCTTCCCTACCTACCTGACGATGTGTGGCTTAAAATCTTCGAAATTCTTCGGACTGGTCTTTGGGAGAACGGCCGGGATTGGCCAGACATCAAGCCCGACCTCAAACCATTCGTGCGTCAGCAGGCCGTGTGTTGCCGGTGGTACTATCTATCCCACCCAGCGCATCCCCTGGATTTCCCCTGGCCCAACTGCTACATGTTGTTCCGTCCACCGTTCACCGAGAGGGACTTGCGTGTGCCATGGCCGGCACTGGGGCAGCCGCCGGTAGAGTACCTCCGTGATTGGCCTTCTCGGGTCCGCCTCCCTGTTTGCCCGGTGATGGTGCAGGGGGGATCCAGTGAAAGATCCTCTGTTTGGCGAGAATCCAAGGGTTGCTCTGCACGATGTCCTGTGCAAACGAAGCCTTAGCGTCTGCATGTTGTACCTCTCATGTTTAATGGAATATTTCAGAGAAGTTACAACTTGCTGGCTAACGTGTTTCTTCGATTTGCGATGCACCACAAGGCCCCAACCCCGCCCCCCCTTTCCCTCTCCCCCCGTTAACCGCCGATGTCCGCCCCCCCGCTGTGGCCACGACTCCCTTTGACACGTCCCCACCCTCGTTGCCTCTGCCCTACTCCGTGTCCCTCCTCTCTCATCTACCGCACGCACGGCCCTTCTCGAGTGCTCGCTCTCCCACCTTTCCCCCCCCTTGTCCTTGCTCTCAGCCGCCACGTATCTTTTCCCAGACCCAAAGCCGTGTCCATCGGACTCTGCTGTCCCGTTTGTTCATGCACCCCCCCTTAACCCAGGACCGTCCTCTCATGTCCCGCCCTTCTCCCCCCTCCCCTCTCTCTTTCCCCACGGGCTATGCCAACGCGTCCCCACCCCTCCACCCACCCCAAACTAACCCTAATCCCGACCCGCCACGTGTGCCCGCCTCATGGGTAATCCCCAGTGCGCGTTGTGGGAGTGGGAGTTCTCCACGACGCTGTGGGGGAACATCTACCTAGCACTCCCTCCATGCATCATGCACATGATAGAGCAAGGGTGGTGGCTGCATGCCATGAAGTGCCTGGTCGCTAAGCTCACTCCATCGGAGCGCGGCATCCTGCTCAAGTGAGTTGCTGCTTCACCCGCTGTGTGTTGCCTTTTATTTTCTCCAACTCATACTGGTCCTTGTAGTCCGTGACGTCCTTCCACATGTCCCCTGCCTCCCTTGTCTTTCGCCCTCCCCCCAAACTTTCCTTGTGCTCCCCACCCCCGCCCCCAGCCGATTCTCCGCTATCAAGGCAGTGACGCCGTCCTTCCTTCTGCGTCTGCCCGGCGGGTGGATGTACTTTTCCACGACCGCCGGGTTCGCGGCGTCTGAGCACCGTGCGATGATGCAAGTGCTTCCCCTCATCCTCATCCTCGACAAGCGGGAGCCACAGCGGGAGGCGGTCGTGCGCATGGTGGCATGGTACAAGGAGCACATCCGTGCGGAGTACCACACCGACGAGTCGCTAGTGAAGCTGACGAGCGACGGCAAGGAGTACGTTCACCTTGCTTACCTGCACCCACTCCCCACTCCCTCGAAGCTTGGTCCCCCCTTACATCCGCGGAAGCCCCCCCTGCCGTGCCTTTGTTGTGCACCTTTATGAGTATCACACCTCCTCCAAACCCGCCCACCCACCCCCAACTTCCCCCACCCCCAATCCCCCATGACCCATTATCTGCCCGTCTGCACCGCATAGCATGGTCGACTCCCTAGGCACGGCATTCGACAACCAGAAGTCGGGGTGGGGGATTGTCAAGATCCATGACATCTGCCACCTCTCCGAGACGATCAAGGCACGTGGGCTCCCCCACGAGTACTCCAGCAACTCCTACGAGCACGCCCACAAGACCACTGTCAAGCGGCCCTCCCGGGGCTCGAACTGGAAGAATGTCGACCAGAGGATTGTGAAGAAGCACATTCAGCATGCGGTCGTGCGGCAACTGACGAGAGAGGTGGGAGGCGACGCCACCTATGAGACGGCAATGAAGCAGGTATGCCCCCTTCTCCCGTACCCCCATTTTCCCCCCCTTCCCTTCCCTTCCCTCCCTCCCCCCTCCCTTTCGCCCCCACTCCTCCACCCCACCTTTGGGGCTGTCGACCTTGTATTCAGTAGGTGTTCCCCACTCACATCTGCCTCTCGCCGTCCTTGATTTCACCCTCCCCCAACCCCATCCGCCCTCCACCCCCTTGTGTTTCACCCACCCCCCACTGCTGTTACCCCTCCCTGGCATCACCCTTCCCCACTCCCTGACAGCACACTCCCTCATCCCCATACTTTATCCCCGATCTTGGAAATCAGCCCTCCACTCTCCCACCAGCCATCCTTCTTCTATGCATTCACCCTACACATCTCTTGTCTGCCTTATCACCTCATAGGATTCCCCCTTCCCCACTCCCATCCTCCCCTTCCCCTTCGGGTTGTCCCTTAACCCACCCCGACCCTCCCAAACGCCCTAACCACCCCGTGTACCCGACACCGTCCCCCACAGGCGGCCCTCCTTGGCAAGAGGGTTATGACGAAGACTTGCAGGCGCATGGTGGTGGGGGACCAGCTGGACACCGTTTTCGTGTCCTACATACGTACTGCTGGCGTGGAGGCGATGCGAGAGATGGCAAACAAGATGGACCTCGCCAAGATCACGACGCGCACTGTCTGGGTAAGTGCTTAACCATCCCAACTCCCCATCTGCCTCCTCAACGCTCCTATGAACTTGCAAGCCACACTTGTGGGAGGTGCTGGTGTTCATGATTCCATGAAGTGAGCCCTCTTAACCCGTCTAGTTAAGAACTATGCCGGTCTCGACCCTGACCGAAACCCTTTCGCGTATTGCTTTATCTCATCCCCCCCCCACCCCTCCCTCCCAACACCCCCATCGCATGTGCATTACCCTCATTTCCGCTGAGCCCTTCACCGCATGTCCCCCCAACCTCCACTCCCTAATCCCGCCTTGCTGTTCCGCCCGTCCATGCCACTCTTACCCGAGTGCATGCAGGTGCACACGGCCATGGCCATCCCCCCCCACGACCGCAGGAGTGGACGGCCAAGGGACAGTTTGTGAAGGCGACCCCGCATGAGTGGCTCTTCTCCGACGTCTCTATCAAGCCCGCAGATGGAGTCGGCCCACCGTGGTACGGCCGGGCCCTCGTGTTGTTCCACTACCTTGACGATGCAGGTGTGGAGGGTCGTGCCGCCTACATTCAGTACTACACCGAGCACCCGCGGCCATGCACGGACACCGGGTGCAAGCGCCTGAGCCCAACGACGGGCATCGACAACTACGCTGTCATTGACATGGATTGCATCCTAAGCCTTGCCCATGTAGTCCCAAGCTGCACAGAGCCTGAGTACCGGCTTGTTAACCGTTTTCTCTTCTGACTCGACATGCACGTGTCCCCTGCCACCCTCACTTTATAAATTACATTCATTACGACTACCATAAGTATGTGCTAACAATCGCTCTTCCGACGATTTTGCACGAGCATGCTAGACTCCGTGCCATCAATTGCTGCTGCACTGTGAAAGACAGACAATGCAATGCAAAAACCATTTCACCATTTCTATACAATAACCATGGTGAAAATTAACACTTTAATGAGCCTTTAAGTTACACAAATACAACAATGCAGTATTTTGTAACCTTTCCACAACAATGCATCCGCAAAACATCTCAACCGCGCAACACTCGCAAACCGTTCACATGAATCGAAACGATTAACAAATACTTGGCGGATGATCTCCAACTTTGTGCTTCGCCCAAAATGGCGTAAACGTTTTGCGAACGTGACACTTTTTGCGATGTTCCTGAAACCCACTGCTAAACATTCTTGCATAGACTGGACCTGTACATGCAGGGGAACTTGGACTTGAGGATTTCATGACATTCCATCATGTCTGGCTTCAAGAAATTGAACGTGGTAAGCCTGTGGAGGAAAACGTCAACAAGCGGCGCACTGTAGGGACAGTGGCAAAAATAGAGGCGCATGGGGACAATAGAAAGAAGCGAGGAAAAAAGGAAAGTAAATCACTAACCATGCAGCGAGTATAGATCGATGAGCAGGTATGGTTTCTCCATCAGATGCCTCCAACGTCACATCACAAAAGGAACCTAGCGTGCCCGTCACCTTACAAGAAAACAGCTCCAGCCTCTCCGATTACCTTTCTCTAATTTTTGCGTGTTCTTGCAAAACTTTACTGACTAGCACATTCGCGCTTTCAGGGCACGTCAACTCACACGAATCATAACTGCACTCGTCGTAAGACCTCTTGCACCCGCGCTTCGGCGCCATTCTGATAGCCCTAGCACTCCCGAATGTACGAGAGGGGCTCCTATAAGACAAGCATGCTCCTATTAACCCACACAACTTGCAACGCAACCTCATCAGCTCGTGTAACTTTTAGCATCGTAGGGCGCGGTGGGTTTTCGACCTCAGGTTCGAAAATGACAATGGGGGACCGACCAGGCATTTGCCTACCGAGCGGTCTAAAGTTGTTCAATGCGTGATTCTGTGAATCTTTTACTCGACTGCCGAACTTTTTTGTCAGAGCATACGGAACCGCGCCCTTAGTAGCTGAATCACGGCCGATGTCGTGACGTGCCCGGACCGAGAAAAGTCGCGCATGCCGTGTGTGCAGCAAATGGTGCCACGTGCCGGACCCTAAACTCTGCAGAGCTGACGCGACACGTCACGTGACTACTGCTGTCTAAAGCCAGCGCCGATTCCGCAGCATCCATGCTAGGTGGAGGTCCACGTGTCAGATGGATGCACACACTACTGAACGAGGAGGCATCGTGCAAGCAGGTGCTTCGTACTGTAAAATACGGTGCACACTTCAACTGACAGCAACGCTGCGTCCATCATTCCTGTATTCTAGCTATGCCCCTGACACAAGCCTTTCCCCCTTGTCATCCCTTAATTTCCATCGTCTAACGCCAGGCTGCGCCAGGAAGTCGGATCAGCTACTATGGCCATCCTACCAAACTAGATGTTGGCTTGGGGGGGTCTGCATGCTCAGAACGAGAGTGTCACTACATTGCGGTGTCCGAAAGAGACTGCCGAGAAATGCGGTTGAGATGGCTGCCATGAAAGGCAGAGACAGCAAGACCTTCGATTCCCACGCGCACGTCACCATTCGTCCCAACTGCACTGCACCAGCGCTGAAATGCGAAGGTGCATCAGGTCAGGAGGGTGTTTCCATTTCCAACTCTTCAGCGGGAACTTTAGTAACCACTGTACTCGCCATTCGCTGTCGACGACATTCACGAAACAAGACCTAAGGCTGTATCCTCTCCCCTCGCAAACTTATGAATTTGTTGTGTAAGGAATTTCCATTCCTTACTGACTCGTTCGCTAGCGCATACACCCGAACTCCTCTGCTCGTCACGTCTGGCCTCATTTGTCGAACCAACCCACTCCCGAGTCGCGCCCGACACTGTCGACACTGTCGCCACATTGCCAAACCTACCCACGTTCCGAGGTTATCGCCCTAGCACGCCAACCCCTATATAACCTCGTGCCTTCATTGCAATAGCGACCTTGTATTCTCACGTTATATTTCATTGACACTTCCTATATCATAGCAGGTGGTATCAGAGCCACTTTCTAGGAACCTTCCGTTTTCCCGTTTACTTAGTTAGGATCACGGCTGCACAGCAGCTGTCTTGGATCGTAAATATTTTTACGCCAACAACTACAGCGTGTGCGCTAGCTTCTGCCCCGTCCTGACCGCCATGGCCCTGGTAGACACAACGGTTGAGGGACAGTCCACCTCCACTGCTGCGAACCCTGTCCGGGAAACTGTGGACCTGCAAACATTAATGGAGCAGTTGAAGAATTTGACAAGCGTCGTCAACGACCTCCGCGACGAGAACCAACGACTTCGCCAAGCGCAAGAGAAGCGTCCAGAGGAGCCGGGCGACGATGCACGAAGCGAGGCGGGTGAGCAGCAACTGTCGCCAGTGGAGCTGGCACGACTAGCGGCAACAGCCCCGCGCTCGACAAGTGGCGGCGTAAGATATCAGCAACCCGCCCCTTTCGACCCAGCCAATAAAGGCGTGACGATGCGGCGGTGGATATTCGCCATGAATATCTATTTCAACGCGGCGGGCATCCGAGACGATCAGAAGCGGATCAGTCACGTGTTAACACTGTTGGAAGTGGCTGCCCTACAATGGTGGAAGGTCATCGTCGACTTAGCGGCAAATCGCACAGAAGGACAGCATGAGTGGTTCGAAGGATTCGGCGACGAAGACGAGGCAGACTTGTTGTTCGGTGCAACCCACATTCGCACGTGGGCAACGTGGTGTGCAGAGCTTCGCAAGCGGTTTGAGCATGCTCCTGACTCGGACAAGGCACGCGAAACTCTACGCATGTGGAAGCAACTGGGATCTGTGTCCGCGTACACCGCGTCATTCTTGACGCTGGTTGACTGATGTGGCTACATGCACGAGTTGGAGACGGTTGACAGGTACATGGGCGGCTTGAAGCCCGAAATACAGTACCAGATAAAACTGCAACGCTCTGCGAAGCGGTTACAAGACTACATCCAACTCGCTGAGGCCGCCGATTCGCTCACGAAGCCGAGGACGAAATTCTACGATGGAGGTCGCCCTCGAGAACAGTACCAGCGCGCCACGATAAAAGGGGTGGACGCATTTGATATTTACGCAGTTGCTCCGCAAAATACGGGGCTATGCTACCACTGTGGCCGGCTGGGTCACATCCGACGCAACTGCCAAGAATTCATAGCCCTCCAGGATTCTATGGGGAAGAAGCCGGAGGAGCAACCGGGAAATGGGTCGCGTCAGTAAGTACCGGGCCCCTTACTGACGGGCAGGCTTCTTCGCCCGAGCCACACAGTCCCCACTGGGTCGTGATCCCGATTGCTGCAATTGACTGGAACCGGACGAATAAGGGGGACAAAACTGCTGATCACCCTGTGTTGGTGGAGGGTAAAGTCAACGGAGTGTTATTGAAGATGTTCGTTGATGGAGGCGCGAGTCATAGTCTTATACAACTGGACAGGGCTAAGAAATTGGGTATACCCTTACTCAAGTGTCTACCCAAAATCGACGCTCGACTGGTGGATGGAACACCGCTGGCAATACAGGAATGAGTGGAGAACGTCGGCTTTACCTATGGGGAGCATGTAAATTTCGGATGCGACTGCTGGCAACTACTCTCGACGAGTGCGACGTGCTGCTGGGACGTGATTGGTTGCGACAGTACAACCCGAAGATTGACTGGACAACGGGCGGCTATAGCATCAAGCTCGATGGGATCTCCCGCGAGCTGCCCAAGTGGATGGGGCCTCGCATGCAAAGCACCCAAGTCCACGCGATCACTTTCAAACGCACGATGAAAGCTGGAGCTCAGCGTACGCCGTTGATCTTCGCGAGGTTACATCGACGGTCGAGACCGAAGATATCGAGAAGCTGTGCAAGGCCGTCCCTCCAGACTTATCGAACTTGATTCGGAAATACCCCGAGATTTTCCCGGACGAACTGCCAGCTGGACTCCCGCCGAGCCGACCTGAGGACAATCGAATTGAGCTGGAACCAGGCGCCCAACCGACGGTACAGCGCCAATTTCGGCTCAGCCAATCGGAACTGGAAGAATTACAGCAGCAGCTAGATTACCTTATGATGAAAGGTTTTATTCGGCCTAGCACGTCCCCATACGCCGCCCCGATAATGTTCACGCCGAAGAAGGATAGAGGATTCTGAATGTGTATCGACTACCGCGCGCTCAACCGGATCACCATCAAGTCGGGTTACCCGATCCCGCGAGCCAACGCACTTCTCGACCAACTTCGCGGCGCCAAGTTTTTCTCAAAAATCGACTTGTGAGGAGGTTGCCATCAGATTCGCGTCGCTGCTGAAGATTGTCACAAAACAGCATTCTAAACCCGCTACAGCAGCTACGAGTACCTGGTCCCCACAGAACAGTCTCAACGCCGAATATTTTTTCATAGCTTCCCCAACTTTTTCGGCAGGTCATCGTTTACCCAGCTTCCCGCTTCTGTTGGTAAGTAAACAGTTGTAAAACCGTAATTCGGGGCAGGACGGAGCAAAAGCTAGCGCACACTCCTATAGTCGGTGCAGGACGGAGCCAACCGCTGCACAGCCATGCTAGTCCCTTTTTTCTTCAGCTGGTCAATGTGGCCCGGACGGAGCAGAAGCCAGTGCACACGCTATAAATCACCGAAGCGATCGCTGTGCAACCATGCTAATCCCCTCGGACGAACACCATTCCCAGGTCAGCTCCCCAAATCTTCGCCAGCACGAAGGAGTTCCAGATTTAACCCCCGTTACGGACCTGGAAGGTGAAATGACCCCATAAATCACCACTACTCCCAGGTGGAGGCCGTTGCAAGTCGGTGGAAAGGACGCTTCGTCAGCCAGTGGCCAAATCGCTACTGACACGCGGCAAAATCCGCTGTCCAAAACTTCCCCTCCGCCGCAACCTCTTTTCTCTTAGAATCTGAAAACTCCATCCTTGCGGTGACCCAGGGAGACGCGCGCGACGGACCCGTCCATAATTTAATTTGCAGCATCCGTGGGTTGCGCCCCATGTCCCTTTTATCGCAGAGCCCTGGTCGTCGTTTCTTGAGCTGGTTTCCTCGTCAGGAAACTTTTACCCGGCATGCAGGTACAGTATTGGCAGGTTGTAGACCACGCGTAAAGCCTGACTGCAATCCAGCTGCCAACTGTTTGACACGTGTCGGTGACGTCCTAGTGCCATCCTGGTACTGTACAAAAATTGGTCGTTGCCGAAGTTTGCCGCTTCCGGATTTTTCATCGAATCAAGGTCGCGCCGACCCACTGCCGTTGTCCCCTTGCCGAAGTTACCGGCGCGCGACGACACACCAAGGCCCAATCCTCCGAGGTTGTCGGTTTGCACATGAAATAGAGCGCCGGCGAATTCTTCGCGCCTCTCGCTCTCCGCGCTTTCCCCGTGTACACTTGTGACGCATCACACGTACGCCTGGCGAACTCCAAAATCTTCCCACGGAGTTGGGCGAGCCTTTGTTTTTTTCACACAACTGCTGACGACGTCTCCTGGCGAGCCGCTTGAAAATTTCCCGCCATGTGGCGACGACGCCATGTTGCCACACAAAACGAGCGAATTAAATGCATAATTCACCAACTCACGTGGCGAATTAGTGCCGTGACAGCCACAGATGTCCATTCCTAGGGGGAGGGAGGACCCGACCAAATCCTGGCTGTCCAAAGGCAAGGGTCTGGTGATGAAGGGAGCGCACACGCCTTAGTCGGACGAGCTAACAAATTAGCTCCGAGCCAACCGCTGTGCAGTCCAGCAGCCCACCAGCCATACCCCCTTCCCCCCCCCCCCCAAGAAAAAATATCGGGCAGGCGGAAGCTACTGCATGAGGAAAGTGGCTCCGAATTCCAAGTGTTATGAGTCGGAATGGAACAATCGACTGAGTAATGGAAATACAACCTAGGAATAATAATTGATCAGCATGTGACGAGCAAAATGGCTAAAGTAGGGCTTGTACGTGCAATGGGGAGAACCTCGGGACGTGATGTGGCTTGGAAGGGTGGCGAGGGTCTCGGAACGCAACTCGGGGAGGTTTGGGCCGACAATCGAGGCCGAACCTGCGAGGTCGAGATCTTCAGGCGTACGCGCTGTAATTTAGTGCAGTAAGGAATTGTAATTCCTTACAAATTAATCATAGTAATAACAGGTAGTGTAATAAAGGATTCGTGATTCAAGAGTGTCGATAAAAATGAGGGCCTACGCATTTATAGGCATGAAAAGAGCTAGCCGGGAACCACGCGAACATGTTGGGGCGGTCCGGTTGGTGAAAGCCACGGAAGCGCCGCGCGTCTAGATTTGGGTTCACGAAATGGTTTGGGACCGAAGAAGTTGGCCGAGCCTGGACTTCCGAGAGTCGAGGGCGTACGCGCTGTAGTCAAGCCCAATAAGGAAAAGGGAATTCCCTTACAAAACTACCATCTGTAACACCCAAACGAAACTGTTATGGGTGGAAACCCATAGTAGCGCGTAAGTCAATATCGAGTTTCGAAATGACAGAATTATCAGAGTTATCAGAGTTGTCGGTACAATGAAAGACGAGGCTAGATATAGGAACACCAGAGCGAATTCTAACCGTGTGATGCACAGGTTCGGATAAGGCATCCGAGGACGTGGAGCTCTTTGGAATGAAGTGGACTGGTTCGGCGTAGTGTGTACGGTGACGGAACTAGGGACTAGTCCGGTGCCGTGTACGTTTGGTGTACCCGCTAGCAGTGCGCCTCGGTAAGGAATTACTAATTCCTTACAGAAACCTTCCCAGCTCCTAAGGCGAAAGAGAAATTATTACTCCCTGATTTTTTAGTGCGCATCTGAGCACACAGTCGTCTTCGCCTGTATCTCACAGCCTCCCGTATGTCTTCGTGTATCTCAAAGGCGCGTGTCATGCTGCCTGAATTCGATCTGTGCATGTTTCTTGGCTACTTTCTTCCAGCCTTGTGTGTCGGGTTGCTGTAGCGTTCTCTATGACCCATCCAGCAGCTACTATTAAACGGGTCTATTAGCATGCCCTTTCTTCTCGTCAAATTGTTACCTTACAGGTGGCAGCGGCCTCCGCAACGATCGTTTCGCGTAAAAAGGTGCGATACATTCTGAAAAGCGGATGAAGAGCGGAGTTTCTCAGGAGCTTGCTGAACCTTCCGAGCCGGCGACACGTGGAATAGAGCTGAGATGATGGGCGAAGGGACCAGAAGCAAGGGGATCAGAAAGCACGCAATGAAGCTACGACGGAATTAAGCTTTAACTCAGGGTCACCCTGGGTCTAACTCCCCCTTCCATCGGCCACACTAGCATATTTTTGGCCGTTCCGCGAATTCCGCGAAAGCGTGCGCCCTATTTTTCACTAGCTCGGTGCTAGGTCAAGTCCATCCCATTGCTAGCCGCCTTTTTAAGACTAGCTTGTGGCTCATTGGTCAGGCGGCGAGGGTTTGAAAAGGTTCAAGCATGAGGACATGCGGTGTGTGTGGATGCTGGAGGAATAACTGCGCGAAGTATTCTATTGGCATGCCTTGTAGGGATGCGGCCATGAGGGTCAAACAGTTGGAGAGCCACGTCAATGAGCTGGAGAAATACAATAAATTTTCAGAAGGGCTGCAAGAGGCTATAGGCCAGTTCCACCTGCTTGCTAGTTAGGTCAGCGACAAGCTCCTTACATCCTTCTGCGATGTGACGTTAGAGACATGGGATGGAAGGAAGACCTGCTAACTCCCTGCATTGTTACTGTGCGCGATTTCTGTAGTTCTTCATTGATTTCACGCTATTCTCACTGCAAAAGTAGTTTCTTTCTTGTAATCGTTTGGTGTATTGAGAGTTAATTGCTTTACCCTATTATCACTTTGCAGGTCTGCGGTTTTTGCCAAGATGTTCAGCAGCGGCTTTCAAGAGGCGAAGAGTGGCTCTGTCCAGATTGACGATATGGATAACTTGCTAGAATACAAAAATGATTAGAAACAATGGTGAACAAGGGAGATATAGGGTTGGAGTTGTACCCTCTAAGAACACACACCTATCTAGCATATAACTTCTACATACAAATATATATATAAGTTGACACATCCCCTATGCTAGATAAGGGGCAGTGTTGAGCAAGAAACATTCAGCTCAGGGTGGCACTACTAGTCCAACCTCTGAGACAGGGGTCCGAAGTGTCAACTTATACATACATTTGCATGTAGAAGTTATAGGCTATAATTGGTGTGTGTTCTTAGAGAGTACAAACCAAACCCTATATCTCCCTTGTTCCCTCTTCCTTCTAATCATTGCGTTATTCTAACATGGTATCACGCTAGGTTAGGTCCCCTCCCCGCCTACGCTTCCGCCTCTAGCCTTAGCCCTCGCCTTAGACCATGCCTTAGCCCGCGCCCCGTCACGCCGCGCTGGCCCCGTCCCGCCGCGCCGGCCCCGCTAGACCGCGCCAGCCCCGTCAAGCCACTCCGGCGCCGTCTCGCCGCTTTGGCCCGTCACTCTGCCCCGGCCCCGTCTCGCCGCGCTGGCCCCGCTAGAACGTGCCGGCCCCGTCACGCCGCGGCGGCCCCGTCACGCCGTGCCGCCCCGTCCCGCCGCGCCGGCCCCGCTACGCCGCGCCAGCCCCGTCACGCTGCGTCGGCCCCTTCCTGCCGCGCCGGTCCCGTCACGCCGTGTCACCCCGTCCTGCCGCGCCGGCCCCGCTACGCCGCGACGGCCCCGTCACGCCGCACCAGCCCCGTCCTGCCGCGCCGGCCCCGTTACGCCGTGCCGGCCCCGTCCGGCCCCGCCGGCCCCGTCCCGTTGCACCGGCCCCACTTGACAGCGCCGGCCCCGTCACGCCGCGCTGCTGCCGCGCCCCGCCGCCTCGTCACGTCGCGCTGCACCGTGCCGCTGAGCCGCTGCGCCGCTGAGCTGCGCCGCGCCGCACCGCTGCGCCGCCGAGCCGCTGTGTAGCCGACCTGCCGAGCCGCCGAGTAGCCGTGCCGCCGCGTCGTCGTGTCGCCGAACCGCAGAGTCGCCGAGTAGTAGAGCCGCCACGTCGCCGAGTTGCCGAGTCGCCGAGCCGCCGTGCTGCTGTGCCGCCCCGACCTGCCGGCCTTGGTTCCCCCTTCTGTGCCGGCTCTCCAGCCGGTCGTCTCCACCGCTGCTCTCCACCGCCCTCTCTTCCCCCTCCCTTAGCGGCGGCCAGCTGCTGCAGCTGTGGCGATGGCGGACGCTGTGCTCCGCCTGGACGCGGAGGGTCGGGCGATCGACTTTGAGGCGTGGCTCGCCGACCTCCGCCGCTCGTTGAGGTGACAGCGCTAGGATGGCCAATCTCTAGCTGTTCACGTCGACTGTAAGATCCCCTGCCTCGACCCGACTGCTGCCCTCTCTGACGCCCCCACACCTGCTGAGCGTGAGGCCTTTGCAGCTGCTGAACTCGCTCGCTCCGTCTGGGAGTCGCGTGACGCAGTTGCGCAGCTTGCTATCAGTCGCGCCCTCCTCCTGTCTGAGCGCCCTCGCTATCTGGCTCTAGAGACTGTGCAGGCGTACTTAGATGCTGTTATTGCACGCTATTCTACTCCCTCCTCCGCCTCTCCTGGTCGTCGCCTCCTCCCCCTGCTCTTCCCTGACCTTAATTCTTTTCCCACTGTCACTGATCTCGCCTCTCACTTGCGCGCACTAGAGACAAGCTACTACGCTGCTAGCACTGAGGCTCCGCTTCTTGTACTGCCTCCTCCCCACGGTGCTACCCTTTACTTCCTTGCCACGCGCCTTCCTGACCGCCTAGCCACTGTCCGAGATCACTTCCTTGCCCTCCACCCTGCTGACCTCACCCTCACTGACTTTGT